GCTTATTTTTATTGATAGTTTTACAAAAAATATAAAAAGCATTTTCACTTTATTTGAAAGGCAGAGAGATAGAGAGGGACAGAGATCAATCATGTTTATTTCCCAAAAGCCCACAACAGTTGGAACTGGGACTCAGTCTGGGTCTCTCACTTGGGTGGTAAGGATCCAAGTACTTGAACTGTCACCTGCTGCCTCTGAGGGTATACAGAATCAGGAAGCTGGAATCAAGCAAGGAGCCAGGACTGGAAGCAGGCACTCCAATATGGGATTTGGGTGTCCCAAAAGGCAGCGTAACTGCTGTACCAAATGCCCAGCTGCTGGTTGTTATTTTCTGAGTTCTTTATTTATTCTGGACATTTTGTCAGATGAAAAATTTGTAAAAGTTCTGTCCCATTTTGTTGGTTTTCCTTTTGCTCCTGTTGATTGTTTCCTTTGAACTACCAAGTTGTCTGATGATTCTTTGCTATTTTCCTGGTTTCTTTTAGATTTGGATTGTTATTTCTTTTTATGTCCACATTTGCCTTATTAATTGTATATCTTTCATTTTTAATCAGAGAATTGCTTCTTTGAAAGGCAGTTAGAGAGAGAGAGGGACGCTGTGTCACAGCAGGTAAATGCCCTGGCCTGAAGTGTTGACATCCCATGTGGGCACCAGTTCTAGTCCTGGCTGCTCCACTTCCAATCCAGCTCTCTGCTATGGCCTGGGAAAGCAGTACAAGATGGCCCAAGCCTTTGGGCCCCTGCACTCGTGTGGGAGACCCGGAAGAAGCTCCTGGCTTCAGATTGGTGCAATTCCAACCGTTGCAGCCAAATGGGGAGTGAACCATCGCATCGGATGGAAGACCTTTCTCTGTCTGCCTCTCTCTGTGTAATTCTGACTCTCAAGTGAAAAATAAATAAATCTTAAAAAAAAATTTAAATCTAATTATAGCCTAGTGAGAAAATAGGTACATTAAAAAAATAAATAAATAAAGAGAGAGAGAGAAAGAGATTTCAGTCTTCCATCCTCTGGTTCACTCCCCGAAATGGCCACCATGGCCAGGGCTGGGCCAAGCTGAAGCCAGGGGCCAGGAACTCCATCTGGTTCTCCCATGGGGATGACAGGGGACCAGGTACTTGGGCATCATCCATTCCCTTTCCAGGCACATTACCAGGGAGCTAGATTGGAAATGAAACGGCTGAGACTCAAACTGGGGCCTTGATATGGGATGCCAGCATCAGGCAGTAGCTTAACCTGTTATTCCCGAATATCAGCCCCTAGTTATATCTCTTTCTAAATTCTATTTGGTGGTGGATGTTATGACTTAGTGGGTTAATCTACTGCCCAAGATATGTCCCAGTTTGAGTTCCCCACTTCTTTTTTTTTTTTTTTTTTTTGACAGGCAGAGTTAGAGAGAAAGGTCTTCCTTTTTCCGTTGGTTCACCCCCTAAGTGGCCGCTACGGCCGGCATGTTGTGACCGGCTGATCCAAAGCCAGGAGCCAGGTGCTTCTTCCTGGTCTCCCATGCGGGTGCAGGGCCCAAGGACCTGGGCCATCCTCCACTGCACTCCCGGGCCACAGCAGAGAGCTGGACTGGAAGAGGAGCAACCAGGACAGAATTTGGCGTCCCAACCCGGACTAGAACCCCAGGGTGCCGGTGCCGCAGACAGAGGATTAGCCTAGTGAGCCGCGGAGCCGGCCCTGAGTTCCCACTTCTAATCGAGCTTCCTGATAATGCACCTGGGAATGCAGCAGCAGATGGCCCATATAAGTACACGTGGAAGACCTAGATGGAGTTCTGGGCTTCTGGCTTCAGCCTGGCTCATCCCTGTCTGTTTGGTTATTTAGGGAGTGAACCAGTGGATGGAAGATTCTCTCTCTCATTCTGTCTTTTAAGAAAATAAATAAAATCTTTAAAAAAAATCTTGTTAGTGATTTCTCTAAGGGTTACTCTATGTATCTTAGCCTATTCAGGGTGCTATAACAAAATAACATTGGTTGGCTTATAAACAACAGACATTATTTCTCATAGTTCTGGAGGCTGGGAAATTCAAGATCAAGGCACTGGCAGATTTGGTGAGTAGTGAGGGCCTGTTTCCTGCTTCGTGGCTATTTTCTTGTAATCCCACATGGTAAAAGGGGGCACATGAATTCTCTGGGGTTATTTTCATAAGCATTAATCTCATTTGTAAGGGCAGCCCTCACAACCTAAATGTCTCCCAAAGGCTCACCTCTAAGTATCATCATCCTGTGACTTAGTTTCAGCACATGAGTTTGGTGGGGAACACATTCAGTCCATTGCAGCATCTTTAATTACTACATGCTACCTTCATTTGGTATTAAACTCTTTGTATATAGTGTGAGAACTTTATAAACCATATTCTAATTTCTTTGACTCATTCTTTGTGTTATTGTTGTCATATATCTAATTTTTACATATCAACCCCATAGTTTGCTTTAGATGATCAGTTATCTTATAAAAGAATTATAAGATGAAAAATTATTTTTAAATCCCGTTATTTTTGCCATTTCTCACATTCTTCATTTCATTTTGTAGATCTAAGTTCCCATTTGGTTTCATGCTTCTTTCTGAAGAACTTCCTTATAATCAGCCAGCTGGCTAAAGGTTTCAGCTTTTGTTTGCTTGAAAGTCTTTATTTTCCCTTCATTTTTTAAAAAAAGATTTATTTATGTATTTGGAATGCAGAGAGGGAGAGACAAATATCTTCCATCTGATGGTTCACTCCCCAAATGGCCAAAGTGGTTGCGGCTGGGCCAGGACAAAGCCAGGAGCTAATAACTTCCTGAGTCTCCCACATGGATGGTAGGTGTCCAAGTAATTGGGCCATCTTCTCCTTTCCCAGGAGCTGAAATGTAAGCATAGCAGAAGGAACTTGAAATGGCTCTGATACAGGATGCTGGCTTTCCAGGTGGTGGCTTAATTTGCTGTGCCACAATGATGGCCCCTTTGCCTTCATTTTTGAGAGGTATTTTCACTGTGTATATAATAGATAGTTTAGTTTTCTTTTTCTTTCAGTATTTTAAGATGTTACTTTGTTTTCTAGCTTGTATAGTTTTTGAGAAGTCCACCAGGATTCTTACATTTATTTCTTTGTACATATTCTTTCTTTGTCTGGCTTCAGGATGCTCTCTTCATTTTGGTTTTCAGCCCTTTAACTTCAGTAATTATAGGGATATGGATTTTTAAATTTATTCTCTTTGATGTTCTCTGAAATTCTTAAATATACGGGTTGCCATTTTCAATGATTTTGGGAGGTTCTTATTATTTCTTCATATTTTCCCATTTATTCATGAATAGATTATCTGTTTTATAGAATCTCTAGGTCCCAGGAACAGTTTCCTGCCATCCAAATTGATTATTCTTTCCTGCTGTCTTAAGAAACCTAAATGTTATTCCTAGCCCTCTGTAGCCAATATCTTTCTTTCTTTCTTTTTCTTTTTCTTTTTTTTTTTAGATTTTTATTTATTTATTTCAGAGGTAAAGTTACAGACAGTGAGAAGGAGAGATAGAGAGAAAGGTCTTCCTTCCGTTGGTTCATTCCCCAAATGGCTGCAACGGCTGGAGCTGTGCCAATCCAGAGCCAGGAGCCAGGTGCTTCTTCCTGGTCTCCCACATGGGTACAGGGGCCCAAGGACTTGGGCTGCCTTCCACTGCTTTCCCACACCATAGCAGAGAGCTGGATGGGAAGAGGAGCAGCTGGGACTAGAACCAGTGCCCATATAGGATGCAGGCACCGCAAGCGGAGGATTAGCCTACTGCGCCAGGGTGTCGGCCCCACCAATATCTTTCCATTTGTTTTTATTAAAGATTTTAGTGAGAACCTAATTGGTTTGTAGATGCTTTCTTAATATAGGCGTGTAATTTAAAAAATGCTAATATACATACCTAATGGATCATTCGAATCTTGCAGGAAGGTAAAAAGAAGTTAATAGTCATCATCAGCTATAATTCTACTTAAAATAACTTATAGCATTTTATTGTGACTTATTTCAAGAATACAGATGATGAAAGCCATAATATGTATAGAACTTTTTATTTGGTGTTTAATATTTAAAATTGTATCAGTTATATTCCTGCATCATAAATAGATCTTAAAAATTTAAATGCTATGTAGATGAAGGTATGTCAAAAGGTTTGTGGAAAACAGAATTAAAAGATAAAGTTAATATTTCTTACCTAGATCCTTTTGATGGATTACAGCCATGATGGCACCTTGATTTTAGCCTGCCCAATCAATGAGACTGACTTTGGACTTCTAATCTTTAGGACTCTTAGATAGATAATAAGTTCTTATTGTTTAAAGTCACTTAACAAAGGATGTTTATTTTGGTGCAGGGTAATCTTGAGGGGCTGATATTGTGGCACAGTGGGAAAAGCTGCAACCTGCAACACCAACATCCCATATGTGCACTGGTTCATGTTCCAGCTGTTCTACTTCCAAACCAACTCCCTGCTAATGGTCTGGGAAAAGTGATGGAAGATGGCCCAAGTGTTTGGGCCCCTGCTGCTGACAAGGGAGATCCACATGAAGCTCCTGAGTCTTGGCTTTGACCTGACCCAGTCTCAGCTGTTGGAATCATCTGGGGAGTGAACCAGTGGATGGAAAATCTCTCTCTGTTTCTCTGTCTCTCTCTGTAATCTGACTTTCAAATAAATAAATAAATCTTGAAAAAAACTTTGAAATTTTATATATATATATATGTTTTACTTTCATAATATGCATTATTACGTGAACTTTTTGAAGACCTCTTATATTACATAATTATGAAATCTACTAGAAATTGTTTTTTTCAGAAGTTACTTCCTTTGCATCACTTGTAATTTGAAAGTCAAGAAAGTTCTAAATTTGAAGCATATTTTAGGAGTTTGTTACTGTATCAAAGTGTAAATATATTTAGGTTTCTGATTCTCTGATTCTGATTCTGTTTTTCCATTAGGTGGCCTTTTTTTTTTTTTCCAAGGATTCCATTGACTCTGGCTTTTCTTATTTAATTTCAGAATTCCATAAGACATAATCTGTCACTGAACAAGTGTTTCCTTAAAGTGCCTCGATCCAAGGATGACCCTGGAAAGGTAGGATTAATTTTCTTAAAATAAGGCAGTCGGATTCTTTAGTATGTCTCTTGTTATGTTTGAATTGGGAATTTCTCTACTTCATTGATTAGAAACCTTTGTGAAATAGCAAGTCCTCCTTGCCCTCCATTCTACACTTGGTTTAGTTGGTGTGCTTCAAGGACCCGCCAGTTAGGGTAAGTGTCCTTTATAAGCAGTGGGAACTAGCAGTGTAGATATGATCTTCTGTTATTTGCTCTTATTAAACTAGTCATTGGTTGCCTTTTAAGTGTCATATATTAAATTAAATTTAGTATTAGAACTACTTGTCAGGAACCACAGTTTATTAATTGGTTATTAGATATACAGGGTTATCTGTATGTAATTGGCAAGTGGAAAAGTATTCTTACTGTGAAATAAAATTGTTTCCTTGTTATTACTTGTTTTTCTTAGTTGCTGTGTTCTCTGCTAGACTCCATTTATCTCCTGCCGTGATAAAGTTTTAAGCATCTGTCTTATAGAAATCCCCCCCCATCTTTTTTGTTTGTTTGTTTGTTTGTTTGTTTCAGTGGCCATGTCAACTACAATGTGGTGGAAACTTGGTGTATTGACTTGGTTTCTAAGTGCTTGGTTGGACAGCATTTGATTGCAAGATGAATTGCTAGATAAGATACAGCATCCCTCTTGACAAGCATGCATTCTTGTTGAGGTAGTAGGGTTTCTGTATCCTTAGGCTGACTCTTCTTGGAAGGATCTTTCAAAAGTGCAAGTCTGATCATAGAAACACTCTGCTGCAGAATACTCCTCAGTGTCCTGGAGATGTATATTTTCATTCTTATATCTTTTACTTTTTGTCTTACTCAGTGACTAGTGGCACTGAGGAGACACTCTTGTTAAATTACTAAATGTATCTTTGCTAGACTGAGGTTAGAAATGGAGAGTTAATAATTTCTGTTTTAAAGTGTTACGTAATGAATGCTTTATAGTACTTTTTATGATCTATCCCATCAAATTGGTCCCTAATAAGATTGAGTAGCTTATTATAATAGTCTTAATTCATGTATGTGTTTATAACTTCCTATGAATGTGAATAGCAATTGGTGAAATTTTGTTTCCCTTTATAGGAAGATTGTTAGGAAAAGAATTATTAATATATCCAAAAGACTTTAGATGTTATTAAGCAGGCACTCATTGGATTCTGTTAATACTTGGTTCTGATTTAGTTGTTTTCTTTTTAAAGATTTTATTTATTTATTTGAGAGGTAGAGTTACAAACAGTGAGAGGGAGAGACAGAGAGTAAGTCTTCCTTCTGTTAGTTCACTCCCTAAATGGCCGCCACGGCTGGAGCTGCAGCAATCCAAAGCCAGGAGCCAGGAGCTTCTTCCTGGTCTCCCATGCAGGTGCAGGGGCCCAAGGACTTGGGCCATCTTCTACTGCTTTCCCAGGTCACAGCAGAGAGCTGGGCTGGAAGGGGAGCATCCAGGACTAGAACTGAAGCCCATAGGATGCAGGTGCTGCAGGCAGAGGATTAACCTACTGTGCCAAGGCGCCAGCCCCTCTGATTTAGTTTTTAAGTGGATTTTAATTAAAAAAAAAAATACATGAATGCTTAACTATATTATTATGTATTAAGTTTTAGTGACTTTGAGGGCCATTTAAAAATCTTGGTCTGTCAAGTTAATTTTTTCTGTGTACATCTTTAATTAAATAGTACTACAAGGCAAGGCAGATGTAGAAAACATGTTGCTGTTAGCAACTATAATTTTTGAATCAAGATTAAATCTTAGTGGTTTGCTACTAAAGCAGGAGAAATAAATAACATCCAGAGAGGCTAATAAAAACATTCAGCTTTTACTATTAGTTTCCAGTTTTAAGAATGTTTTTAGTTTATTGAAATGCAATATTTTCATTGATTCTATAAATGTCTGAATAGCTGTAATTTGTAAAGTACATTTATAGTTAGAGTCATTTTTATTTTTTGTTTCAAAGTGAGTTTGAAATACCAGTTTTTCTGATTGATTTTGGTCAGATGTAGATGTTGTAAATTTGATCTTATAGAATACATTTTTGTAAAAAAGATCATATTTATTTTTGATGTAAAAATGAGATTTCAAAAATTCCATTGCTTTAAAAAAAAGCTTTGAAAACCTCAGGATCTAGCCTATTTTGTAAAAAGGAAACTATAGATAGGGAATGACTTTGTCATTGGAATTTAGGTATATTAGCCAGAATTACTTGCCACTTAACAGAGTCTCAATACAAACTTACCTAAAGGGGTGCTGTGTGGATACTTCAGGAAGAACTGGAACCAGGTTCTTAAATTGTGTCATCAGGAATGTCTGTTTACATCCCTAAATTCTGCTAACTTCTTTAGTGGTTTCATTTGCAGCCTGATAAGTGGCAGAGATGGCTTATGTGCTCCCAGTTTAGCAGAAAGAGTCTTTGTGTCCTTTTCTCCAAATCACCTGGAATTACAGCAAGACTTAGAATGAATGCTGAATAAGCAAAATCACTTGGTTTCTTGTTCCTAGACTAGTGCTTTTTCTTTCTCCAGTAGACCAATCTTCATTGAGAGGGAAGCCAAAATGTTAGTTAAGTTTTGGTACTTATGAACTGTTTTTTCTTTTTGTATTACAGTGTTTCCTGGCATTTGAGGAGCTTTTCCAAAACTACCCTCACCACAGTGGGAGAAAACCATTGAGCCAAGGTGGGGTGGGAGTAGATTTTGGACTTGGGTATGGGGTGGACTTTAACTCCTTAGGAGTTGGTTGGCTGCTACCATGACCCTGACAGGTCCAAGAGGTAGAAGGAGTGTTTGTGTATTTTTTACATTTATTTTTACTTGAAAGAGTTACAGAAAGAGAGAGAGAGATAGAGGGAGAGCCACAGACACAGGGATCTTCCATCCACTGGTTCACTCCCCAGATGATCACAACAGCCAGCACTGGGCCAGACCAAAGCCAGGATCCAGGAGCTTCTTTCAGGTCTCCCACGTGGGTGGCAGGAACTTGAACATTTGGGCCATCTTCCATTTTTCCCAGGCTGTTAGCAGGGAACTGGATCAGAAGTGAAGCAGCTGAGGAGTGAACCAGCACACATAAGGATTCCAGCACTGTAGGTGGCGGGTTTACTTGATACTCCCCAATGCCATCCCCAGAGGTAGAAACAGCTTATGCAGCATCTGTGTATTTTCATGATCTGGCTTCTTGTTCACTGAGTTACCAGAGAGGTAAACAGACCAACTTAAATTTGAAGAGTTTTCTTGAATTACAGATATTTTTATGTGTCTCTTATTTTTTTCCATACTCAGTTGTTCATTTTATAAAAACCTTTGTCCTAAAAGCCCTTATTACTTCATTTTCTTTAGGTACATTGATGATCTGAAATTTGTTTTCTTCTATTCCCTGAAACTGATTTCAAGCAGGCACATTATCGCTTTCTTTAAAAAGAAACAAAATCAAATTATATTTAGCATCTGTAACTTTGCTGCTTTTTTGAGGGACATATTCCTCCTCAGTCCCCTTTGATTACAACCCTCTGTGCATCTTGTAATCTATCCCCATTTTAAAAATTCTCTTTTATCTTCCTGTTTGCCTTAGTTTGTTTTCCTGTATTTTTATCTTTTTCATCTAACTTGTTTTTAAAAGTCTTCTGTAATTCACACTTAATTATCTTAATGTTCTGCTCACTTGGAAAAAAAATCATCATAAATTGAGATATAAAAATATTTTTTGGGTTATCAGCTTAATCATTTCTCAAAACTTTGTTCCCCTTCCCATTTCACAAAAAAGGTACTTTGGACTTGAAAGTAACTAAAAGATTTTAGAAAGTAGAGTAGCCTAAGGAATTAGCAGCAAAGAACTCTACTAAAATTAAGAAGTTTAAGACCACCTATATTGGGGAAATAACTACAGTTAATTTATAATATGAAGATGGTGTTAGGAAGCTCTTACCTTGGAATAGAAGATGATAAAGATGCAGTGGCTGTGCAGGTTGGAATGTGAGGAAATACATTTATTGCTAGAGAAGTAACTTCTGAAAGTTCTGAGATTGTGATTTTTATTTTTATTTATTTATTTATTTTTACTATTCCTGACCCTCTGGGTTAGTAGGAAGAACCATAACATAGTTGACGGATCACTTTCTCTTCAAAGGGTATTCCTTTTTTAGATCATATCACTGTTGTGATATATTCGTTCGTTCGTTCGTTCTTTCTTTCTTTCTTTCTTTCTCTCTTTCTCTTTCTCTTTTTCTTTATTTCTCTTTTACTTTTTTCTCTTTCTTTCTTTCTTTCTTTCTTTTTTTTTTTTTTTTTTTTTGACAGGCACAGTGGACAGTGAGAGAGAGAGACAGAGAGAAAGGTCTTCCTTTGCCGTTGGTTCACCCTCCAATGGCCGCTGTGGCCAGCATGCTGCAGCCGACACACCACACTGATCTGAAGCCAGGAGCCAGGTGCTTCTCCTGGTCTCCCATGGGGTGCAGGGCCCAAGCACTTGGGCCATCCTCTATTGCACTCCTGGGCCACAGCAGAGAGCTGGCCTGGAAGAGGGACAACCGGGACAGAATCCGGCACCCCGACCGGGACTAGAACCCGGTGTGCCGGCGCCACAAGGCGGAGGATTAGCCTATTGAACTGCGGCGCTGGCCGTGATATATTTATTTGTAAGTTGTCTGTTATTTACTGGTATCCCATTTGGGTCACTTCATTTTAAAACAATGTGGAAGAATTGGAGACGTTTGACAGATATAAAATACAACATTAAGAGATAAATTGTGTTGCAGGAATCATATAGTTGCCCTGAAGAAAGAAGATAAGACTGTAATTTTAATACTAGTTTTAAAGTAGATGCATGATTTTTCTGAGGAAGAAGTGGAATGTTTCTCTGCATCTTTGTACTAAACAGGAAGTAAGAATTAAGGATAAGCAAAGAGTTTGGTTGGATGAAAATACATTATTTATTGGAGCTTGAGAGTCTTCTGGTAGATGTTCCTATAATCTGGTTTAGATTTGCCACTTCTG